CTTTGGTTTTTCCAGCTTGATGTCTGCTGGTGGGTCCCCCCTTCTGACCTTCCCAGTGGCCTTTCCTCCTAGACTCTCCTGCAGCCCTGTCATTTGGTTCTTAAAAGGACTGGGCCAGTGAGATGTTGCATGTGAGACACACACACGCACGCACGCACACATGCATGCACGCACGCCCGCCCGCCCGCCCGCCCGCCTGCCTGCCCGCCCGCCCGCCCAGCTCCACGGCCTCTGCCAGTCCTCACTGGGCCGCTTCTGCAGTTCAAGAGTCCCTGGTGTCCGAGGAGATAGTGCACGACCTGGACACGTGCGAGGTGACAGTGGAGGGAGAGGAGCTGAGCCCTGAGCAGGAGGGCCTGGAGGTGGACCTGGCCCGCGTGCAGCACAAGAGCATTGAAGTGAGCCGCTCCAACCTGGGCGTGGTGTTCACAGGTGAGGCCGCCGCGCCCCCATCTCAGGCCCGGAGTCCCGGGAGGGCGTTTCCTGGGGTCGTGTTCAGTCCTTACGGGGGTCATGGGGGTCGGGGCCAGGCTCGTGTCACATCCTCAGGAAGGAGACCCCCGTACACTCTAGGTTCCCTCCCGCAGTTGGAAAGCCCAATGTGACCGCTGGCTCAGCGCCCGGTGCCTGGCTCCAGCCTGCCCTCGTCCGCGGCCCTGGCTGCCTGTGCTCCCAGCTCAGCCACCGCCCTGTCTCCCCCTCCCCCCAGGCGTGGACACCATGGCCAGCTACGAGGAGGCGCTGCACCTCCTGCGCTATCGGAACTGGAACTCCAGGTCCTTGCTCGACCGGAAGTTCAAGCTCGTCTGCTCCGAGCTCAACGGCCGCTACATCAGCAATGAGTTTCAGGTGGAGGTGAGTGCAGGCTCCCTGAGGAGGCCCATGCATGGCCGGATGCTTAGAGCGACTGTGGTGGCAACTCCTGGGTCTGCCCACGGGTGTAGCCTTTTCCAGCCCGAAAGCTGCTGCTGGTCAGAGGTGTGGGGGCTGGGGGGACAGGTCATGGCGTGCCTCAGCCCAAGAGCCTGGGGCTTTGGAGGGAGCTGGTTGAGCTGAGAGCAGCGCAGTGAGAGGATGCCTGGGGGGAGGGGGGCTGTTAGAAGTTCGGTCTGCGTTAGAATGAGCAGCGCAGGGGAAGTCGGGGAGTGGGCTGTTTGCGGTTGTAGAGGCCGGTCCTGCTGTGAGTGGATCTTCGGCTCAGGTGAGGCTGCAGCACTGGGTGGCCCCGGGCCTGCTGCGGTGACTCGGCCGCGGTGGCCAGAGCGCCTCACCTTCAGGTTCTCAGGGGCCTCCTCAGCAGCCCTGTCCCTCAGGCGTCTGTGGGACCACATGCTCCTGGAATCCCGCAGCCCCGTGACCTCCTGGCAGCAGGAGGCTAACGCACGTGCAGGCCCGGCGATGGTGCTTTGAGCCTGAGGGAACTGCTTTCAGAGGAAACGAATGGTTGCCACCTGCGCCCTCCTGCACGCGGCTGTGGTTTGGGGATGAGGGAGAGCCCGAGCCAGCTTCTCAGACGCCCTGTGGCGAGGGCAGTGCTGTCCCCTGTCTCCTTCCCCGTCTGATTCTTCCACCAGGTGCTGCCAGGAGAGTCACGTGAACAGTGACACATTCCTGGGTGACAGTGCACCTGCCCCGAGAGGCTGAGTGCTTGCCTCGCTTTCCCCTGCCCGCCCGCGCCGCCGGAGCTTGGGGGCCGCCGGAGCTTGGGGGCCGCCGGCCTCAGCTCCCGAGCGCGTGCCCGCCCACTCGCTCAGCCGCCGCTCTGTCCGCGCAGGTGAACGTGATCCACACGGCCAGCCCCATGGACCAGGCCAGCCACATGGCCGCGCAGCCGCAGTTCCTGCACCCGGAGCACCGCGCCTTCGTCGACCTCTCGGGTCACAACCTGGCCAACCCCCACCCGTTCGCAGGTAGGACTGGGGGCCCCTCCCCGGCTGCCAGGAGCCCCGCTCCTGCTCGGAGCAGCCCGGCCGCCAGGCGCTGGGGTCCCGGTCACGCGGAGGGCAGGCTCGGGGGCTGCGGGGCGGTGCCGAGCTTTTCCCGTCTCCTGCTGACCCACGGGGTCCCGCGAAGCGGCCAGCGCCCGGGGGGAGGTGGTGGGCACGGCGGCCGGTGGGCTCGTGGCCAGGACCGTCCGTCCGTCCGTGCCGTTGCAGTGGTGCCCAGCACGGCCACCGTGGTGATCGTGGTGTGCGTCAGCTTCCTGGTGTTCATGATCGTCCTGGGCGTGTTCCGCATCCGGGCTGCGCACCAGCGCTCCGTGCGGGACCAGGACGCCGGCAAGGAGAGCGAGATGGACTGGGACGACTCCGCCCTCACCATCACCGTGAACCCCATGGAGGTGGGCACGCGGGCGCCCCCACAGCACCCCGCAGGCCAGGTCCGAGCCGGGCTCACCCCGAGAGGCCTGTTTGAGTCCGTGCCACCGGCAGGAGTGGCGTCTCTGACGAGGCCACGTCCAGCACAGCCAGCCGTCTGGCCGAGGAGTGCGACGCAGAACCCTCCCCTGGGGCCGGGCAGGAGCGAGCGCTGGGAGCCGAGTGTGAGCTGGGCAGGGGCTGGGGGCCAGACTCACGTGCCGTCTCTTTGTCAGACGTACGAGGACCAGCACAGCGAAGAGGAGGAGGAGGAAGAGGAGAGCGAGGACGGCGAGGAGGAGGATGATGTCACCAGCGCAGAGTCGGAGAGCAGTGAGGAGGAGGAAGAGGAGGAGGAGGGCGAGCACGGGGACCAGCCGCCGGCGAACAGGCAGCAGCAGCTGGAGTGGGACGACTCGACCCTCAGCTACTGAGCGCCTCCTGCCTGCAGTCCGCCGCCGCCTCGCCCGCCCGCCCGCCCGCCAGGCCCACCGTGTACAGTCCGGCCTGTAGGTCTCAGCCCCCTCCCCTCTCGACCGTCACCCCTGCTTGGTATGCGGGACCCGGCTCCCTCCGCCCTCCGCCTGGACCTCCGCCTGAGGAGCTGCCCCTGCTCCCCATCATCTCGCTCGCGTGGCCCCTCCCGCCTCCAGAAACGCCCAATCTGGACTCGGTGACCAAGGGTTAAAACTGCTCCCCACTGGGTAATCCTTTTTTTTTTTTTAATTTTCCCCAAACTAGTGCATGTACAAAATGGCCGAATGGGGTTCGTATGTAGATGATGAACTTTTTAATATTTTGTAAATAAATTGGGATTCCTCGTGTCCTTGTGCTAGTGTAACCCAGGGTTGGAACGCGAGGTGAGCGGAAACCCTGAGCTCGGAGGCCCTCGGGCTCCTGCCCCCCAGGCACCGGCTGTCCGCTCAGGGCTGGCTCCCGTGTGGCCAGGGTGAGGCGACCCTCTTTGGGGCGAGGAAGGCCAGGTCCTGTCTTTCGGACTCCACGTTCCACGTGACAACCGTGGGAGCTGGGTCCTGGTCTGCTTGCACACAGCTCCGTGCAGGAACCCCACTCGTGTGGTCTGGAGGCAGAGCAGGCCCAGTGACCCTTCCTTAGCCTAGGACACACTGACAGACGCCCAGTGGCCCCGTCAGAAAGTGACCCCCCTGCCCGCCCGCCCGCCCCGCCCCAGCAGGCTGAGCTGCCGCTGTGCTCGGTGGTGAAGGGGGGGGCAGAGTGAACCACACAGCACTTGGTTCTCCATTTACGTGTAAAACGTCAGGTTTCTAAAACGGGGTGGGGTGGGAGGGGTAAACACTGTTCTGTGACCCTAACCGCTAGTTTCGGGGACACTGCTGTCGTGTCTGTGGCCTCCCTCCTGTGCTGTCACGTAGCTGCTGCTGAGACGTGGACAGACGTGAGCGCGGAGACGGCCGTCCTGGCTGTCAGCGCGGCCTCTCCCTGTCTGTGCCGGTCAGACGTGTCTGCCCGCAATAAAGCTCTGGTTCCAACTCCGCGGGCGCCTGTGGTCTTTCCCGCCCGCTCCTCCACGCCAACAACGTGCCCGCAAAGGCCTTCATTGCCTCAGCTGCTCCCCTCCTCAGGGGCTCCAGCCCTGCCCTCAGCCGGCACCAGCACCGGCACGCCGAGCTTCCCGCACAAACCGAAAGGGTTAATAGTATCTTCTCACAGCTCCCCAGTCAGCTGCCCACACCGGGAGCACGCTGCTCCTTTAGGTAAACGACAGACAGACACAGCTTCCCTGGGTCCAGAGCACCTGCTGGGAGCAGCACCTGCTGGGAGCAGCACCTGCTGGGAGCAGGGTGGGTGGTGGTATGTGGCACAGACTGCTCCTGGGCTGGTGAGAGGCAGCGACCTCGGGCTCTGCTGAGCCCTGTAAGGCCTGGCGGGGGGAAGGAGACCCGAAGTGTAGCCTGCAGGCCCGGGCTCCAGCCCCTCACTCAGCACAGGGCCCTGACTGCCCAGCAGGTTCTCGAAGATGGGATTCCAGAGGAGACCCTTCCTTCCCTGGAGCCTCTCCCTGATCCACGACAGGACACGCTGACGGGCATGTGTAACACGCCTGGAGGACCAGCATGTATTACCCTACGGGGTGTCCCTCCCTCAGAGGTCCAGAGTCGTTTGGCTATTATTTTCTTACCCGCAAACAAAACCACTTTACAGCAGAGATGAGAGGGTTCCCGTACCCAAGAGTCACTTTAAAAGTGGAAAGAGCATCCCTGAATCTCGGGGCACCAGGCTTCCTCCGGAGCTGCCAGGATCAGCGGCGGAGCAGGAGGCGGAGGGCGAGCGGAAGGGTGGGCACCGGGCCGCCCGCAGCCCTGGGAGAAGGCAGCTCCCCGGGGGCGGGTCTGCTGGGTCCAGGCCCACCCGCTGGAAGACAGGGTACGGCCCCCACAAGGCGCCGCCTCACAGTGTCTTCCCATCGGAGCCTGGGGCTCTGCTCAAGGGTGCTCGTCGGCGATGGCTGTTCGGTTCCTGAACGTTTCAAGTCATAATAAATAACCAGTGTAAACAAAGGCAGTGGGTGCCCGCGGGCGGCGGGCGGCGGGCCCCGGGCGGCCCAGGACGGGCTCGCGCCTGCCCGGGGGCCTGGCGGGCCGGAGGTCAGGAGCGGACGGCCTATTGCCGGTTGTCTTTGGACACGTTGTGGGCCAGCCAGTTCACTTTGGTCTTCCAGCTCTCGCGCAGCGCCTCGTTGAACTTGACACGGAAGTGCTTCAGCGCCTCCTCCTCCGTCTTCCCCAGCGCCAGCGAGTCCTGGGCAGAACCGGGGCACTGAGGCCGGCCGCCGGGGAGGCCGCCCTCCCGCCTCCCGAGGGCGCCCTCGGCGCCTCCGGGCAGCTGTGCGGACAGTGAGGAGCAGCCCAGCCTCTCCCTGGGAAGAGCTCTTGATGCTGATCCCAAACCAGACAGGCCCCCAGGCCCCTGGGCTAAGGTGACCAGACGGCCCGTTTTTTAACCATTTGTCCCGCAGCGTTTTAAAAAAAAATGGGACTTTTTTAAAACGTCGCGGGACGCGGGACAAATGGTTAAAAATCGGGGCGTCTGGTCACCTTACCCTAGACCCACCCTCACAGTAAGAGCCCCTGGCAGCCAGGCCGCTGCCACGCCAGTCAGGAGGGCGCACGTGGGGACGGGCCCCCGGGTCGCACTGCGGGAGACAGGCCTGGGCGGGGCCCGCGCCGGCCTTTACCTTCAGATACTGGATGTCTTTGGAGCAGCTGAGCTCCGGCAGGCCGGCCGCCCGCATCAGGGCGAAGAGGTGGAGGAAGAGGAGCCCGTGGCGCCGCAGGATGGTGTAGGCCCTCTCGCAGTAGCCGCGGAACCTGCACGGGGCGGGAGGCGGCCTGGGTCCTCCTGGCCACTCCCACCCAGGCCTGTGGCCTGGAAACAGCCCTGGACGCAGTCCCCACCCCAGCCTGGCTCCCCCTACGGGACCCTCCTGCACCCTGTCTGCGGCCCCGGGGCCCAGGGCGTTTGGGGGGGGGTCTGAGGCACCCTCACCTCTCAAACTTCTCGCTGTTGCTGGTCTTGCCCTGCTGGATCACGTGCACAAAGTCATAGGTGAGGATGAAGGGGACCCGCTCGCGGTTGATTCCAAACTTGGTCTTGAAATTCCCCAGGAAGTGGCCAAAGTCGATGTGGAACAGCTGAGGGGGCGGGAGGGCAGGGCACAGACTGAGCCGGAGCCAGGAGGGCCGAGGCGGGGCCAGAGGGCGGTGCCCCACAAGCCGGCCCCTCGCACCCCTACCTGCCCGTTCTCGCGGATCATGATGTTGTCGCTGTGCCGGTCGCCGATGCCCAGCACGTAGGTGGCCACACAGTAGCCGGCACAGGAGAGGGTGAACTCCTCAATGGCCCTGTCCAGGGCCTCCCTGGGGGGGGGGGGGGAGAGGGGGGATGGGAAACCACAGCCTCGCCCTGCAGCGCCTGCCTTCCCTGCTACAGTGAGGAGCGAGGCAGGAGGTGGCCCCGGGCCCAGACACGCCACCGGCCAGGCCCGGCGAGGCAGCAGCTGCAGGAGTGGTGCCCGCAGAGCCACTCAGCTGAGCCAGGTCAAGGGGCAGGTTTCTGAGCCAACAACCAATGACGGCTGCTGAGCACCCTTAGTCGGGGGTGGCTGTTACACGGCGATGGGTAACTGATACGGGGGGGAACGGAGACCCCCCACCCCAACACAGGCCCGGGCAGTGTCTGGCTGAGCCCAGAAGCCACAGAGAAGTCACAGGCCTGTCCCTTCACCTTTGACTCCTGAACCTCACCTCTTGGGGAGGAGAGGACATTGGTCCCCAAAGACGGGGTACCCCCCAGGCCCAGACCTACCCAGGGTTCTTGGACTTGAGCCAGTTGAGCAGGGCGTCCTTGTTGAAGGCGGCCGTGGCTGCCATGTTGCTCTTGTTCAGCTGGATGTTGGCGATGGTGTCCGAGCGCAGCACCACCTCGATGAGGCCCGTGCGGTCCCCGGTGGAGAGGCAGCCGTAGGGGGTCATCCTAGCCGGTGGGGCAGGGCGGACAATGGTCAGGGGCTGTCCTGGGGCTGCCTGGCCGCCGAGGAGCTCACCGCAGCCAAAACAGCCACAGGAGCTGCTGCTGGAGAGGGTGGCCCCGAGGCAGAGCAGCCGCAGCTGGGAGCAGCCGTAACGCCGGGCCCGGGCCGGGGAGGCTGCGGCTGGGCCGGCACAGAGCAAGGCGCCGGCGGCCGCCCCTGCCGGGCTTTGCTCCGTGAGAGATGCCCGCGGCCAGGAAGCAGGCGGAACAGGGGCCAGGGGTGTGTGGGGCACACGCTACGCGGCCACAGGGCAGCCAGCGGGCGGGCCGGGTGCTGAGCGCCGGGCCGGCCGCCTCCACCCTCAGCCTGGGGCCCATCGCCCCTCTGGCCCGAGCTGACCCTGGGCCCATCTTCTCAGCAAAGTGGTCCTGTCAGCCCTGACAGGGCCGGGGTCCCAGGCCGGCGCAGGCAGGGACCGAGGCGGGTTCTCACCTCAGGTCCAGACCCTCCTGCTTCCACAGGACGTCCATGAGCTGGATCATCTGCAGCGTCAGCATGTCCTGGCGGAGGTCTGTGCCGCGGCCCCGGGGGGAAAGAGCAGGGTTTCTGGAGGGTTCCGCACGCCCAGCCGGCCTGGGCCCCGCGCTCCGGACGTGTCCGTGGCTCACCCTCCGGACCCCGGGGCAGTGGGGGGCCCGGCCGCTCACCGTCCCCGTTCTTGAAGATGATGCCCACGCTGCCGTCGCCGCCCGCCTCCTCGTTGCTGTACACGACCCACAGCGGCTTCATCTTGGAGTCCATGAAGGTGCACTGCTCCACGCTGCAGGGGGGCGGTCAGCGGCCCCGAGGCCCCGGGGGCGGGGAGGCGGTCAGCGGGGGCCGGGGGGGCGGGGCAGGGGGGGCGGTCAGCGGGGGCCGGGGGGGGGCGGTCAGCGGCCCCGAGGCCCCGGGGGCGGGGAGGCGGTCAGCGGGGGCCGGGGGGGGCGGGGCAGGGGGGGCGGTCAGCGGGGGCCAGGGGGGCGGGGGGGGGGTCAGTGGGTCCCGAGGGGGCGGGGGGGTGGTCAGCGGCCCTGGGGGCGGGGGGAGGGGCGGTCAGCAGGTCCCGAGGGGGCGGGGCGGGAAGGGCGGTCAGCGGGGGCCAGGGGGGCGGGGCAGGGGGGGCGATCAGCAGGTCCCGAGGGGGCGGGGCAGGGGGGGCGGTCAGCGGGTCCCGAGGCTCCAGGTGGGGGGGCAGTCAGCGGGTCCCGAGGCCCCAGGGGCCGGGGGGGGGCGATCAGTGGTCCCGAGGCCCCGGGGGCGGGAGGGGGCGGTCAGCAGCCCCGAGGCCCCGGGGGTGGGGGTGGGGGCCGCGCGGCTCACCAGACTTCCGCCAGCAGGATGCTGGGGTCCAGCGGGGACTGCAGGTGGGACAGCGCCTCCAGGTAGGTCTCCTGGCGCATGCACAGGTGCATCAGCTCCTTGGTCTGCGGCTTGGGGCTCTTCTGCGAGCTCACCTTGACAAAGTCGTTCAGCGCCTTCAGCTTGCTCAGCGCCTCCCCCTGGCCGGAGGAGGGAGGGCAGCGTGAGCGAGCCGGAGGGGCGGGTCCGGGGCCTCGGGCTGGCCCAGGTGATCCCACTGCCCGGGAGCGGAGCCCGGCCGGGAGCGGGCAGGCGCCCTCACCTGCTTCATCAGCACCTTCATGTGGTGGGTGCTGCCCCGGCAGTACGCCTCCATGATGAGGCCGAAGCGCAGGGACACAGAGGGCACGTGCATCTCGGAGCTGCGGGGGCAGAAGGGGCTGAGCCTCCCGGGCAGGGCACCCAGGACACCCACCCCTCCCAGCCCTCCCAGCCCCAGGACACCCAGGCCCAGGACACCCAGGCCACCCAGCCCCAAGACACCCAGCCCTCCCAGTCCTCCCAACCCCAGGACACCCAGCCCTCCCAGCCCTTCCAGCCCCAGGACACCCAGTCCTCCCAGCCCTCCCAGCCCCGGGACACCCAGCCCTCCCAGGCCCGCCAGGACCCCCAGGTCTCCCAGCCCCAGGACACCCAGCCCTCCAAGCCTCCCAGCCCCAGGGCACCCAGGCCCCGGACTGTGAGGCCCGCAGGCAGGAGTCCCCTGCCCCCCGGCCCTCCAGCTACCGGAGGTGCCAGAAGAGGAAGTGGCCGATCTTGCGGTTGGCCAGCGCCCGGTCCAGCAGGAACTTGGTCAGCTCGCAGTCCAGGTAGGACTCGTACTTGAGTACCTGCACCAGCTGCAGCAGGTACTGGAACAGCTCGTCGTCCCTGCGGGGGAGGCGCTGGGCCTGAGCTTCGTGGCTGGGGGGGGGGGGGGGAGGGGCGGGGACAGGGGTCTGCAGGCCCGGGGAGGGCCGGCCCCACCCCCCGGGGGAGCCGGGACCGGGCTCACGTCAGCTTCCGCAGGGACTTGATGGCGAAGGAGCCCACGTGGCGGTCGGGGAAGCTGGAGTCCAGCAGCTCCAGGGCGCTCAGCACGGGCAGCTCCGGCCAGGAGCACAGCAGGTAGAGCATCTGGGGGGGCCGGCAGTCAGGGGGTGCCTCTCGGGGCCGCCCCCCCCCCGGCCGCCCCGCGCCCACCTGGGCCACGTCCTCGTGCTTGTTCCACTTGGTGACCAGCAGCAGCCGGGCCAGCGCCTCGGGGAAGCGCTCCTGCACCTCGTGCCGCATCTTCCACACCAGGTCCTTCTCGTGCTCGTACAGCTCCCCGGACCCGCGCCGCTCCAGGATCTCCCGCAGCTGCAGCTGCTGGGGGCGCAGGGGGCTGAGCTGCCCAGCACCCCGCCGCCCGCCGCCCCGCCCACGGCCCCGCACCCCCGCCCCGCCGCCCCGCGCCCCCCGCCCCGCCGCCCCCCACCCCGCCCATGGCCCTGCACCCCCGCCCACAGCCCCGCCCCCCGCCCCCACCCCGCCCCGCATCCCCGCCCGCCGCCCCGCCCGCCGCCCCGCTCACCTCCTCCTCCGTGGCGCGCCCGTGCTCCCCGTGCCGCCCCAGCTCCAGGATCTGCAAGGATGGCGGCTCTCAGCGGGCCCGGGGCGGCCGGCAGGGCCCCGGGGGTCGGGGGCCTGCACTGCTGACCCTGGGCCAGGGGCTCTCCGCGGGGGGCCTGCCCTGAGCGCTGGAGGGAGGCTGGCAGCATCCCTGGCCCCACCCACTGGAAGCCAGGAGCCTCTCCCCCGGTGGTGACAACCGGGAACGCCTGTGGGGCCCTGGCCGGCGTGGCTGCACCTAAAGGGCCCTGAATTCGATTCCGGTCAAGGGCACATGCCCGGGTTGCGGGCTCAATCCCCAGTGCAAGGGGGGCGAGTGGGGTGGTGGTGCAGGAGGCAGCTGATCAATGATTCCTCTCACCACTGACGTCTCTCTCTCCCTCTCCCTTCCTCTCTGAAATCAATAAAAATATATTTTAAAGAAAGAATGTCTGGCTATCCCCTGGGGGCAGAGCAGTCCCGAGAACCACTGCTCGGGGCGCAGGGGCCATGCCCGGCGGGGGGGGGGGCAGGGGCAGCCGGGTTCCCCCGGACAGCCCCAGCCTGGGCAGGGCCTCCGCACTGACCTTGTCCAGGGCGGGGTAGTACACGGGGTGGGGCGCCACCTCGGGGAGACAGATGACCAGGGCGGCGGCGCTCTCGGTGTTGGGGTTGTTGCACACGGTTCCCGTGGGGTTCAGCAGCTCCCCTTTCTCGTCTGGACACGGGGACGGGAGCAGTTACACGGGGAACACCCACGGGGCCACCCTGCCCCGCCGCCCGCCGCCGCCGGCACCTGGGACGGAGGGCCACATGTACAGGCGGCGCTCGCCGGTCTTCAGCTGGTCCTTGTAGTCGAAGAGGGTGAGGTTGGCCCAGGCGATGGGGCAGTCCTGCGGGGGGCGGGGAGCGGCGGCTCAGGCCTGGGCTCCGGCCCAGGCTCCGGCCAGCTCCCTGCCTCAGACTCCCCTCGGGGCTCCCTTCTGCCCCCCGCTCCCAGCTGCCGGAGGAACCCCGGCCACGCCGCCTCAGCCCCAGAAACCATGGCTCAGCGGCCAGCCCCTCAGGAGCCGGCTCCCTGCAGCAGTGTCCTCCCTCCCGGGCAGGCCCCCGTCCCCCCAACCAGAGGCCCAGCCCTTATGTCCGGGTCGCCCGACAGCGAGCCCGGGCCCCAGGCCTCAGGCCGGGGCCTGGCAGGGTGGGAGGCTGGGAGGCCATCCGGGCTGAGCGGCCGGCCGCGGGTCTGGACGGGCGCAGAGGGTGCTGCTCGGAGCCGCCGCCCGCCGCCCGCCCCACGCACCGCCTTCTTGGCCTTCTTCTTGGTGGAGCGCGCCTTCTTGGCCTTCTCGATGACGGCGTAGAGCGCGAAGCACAGCCGGGCCATGCGCGGCAGGTCGCACACGTGGATGTCGAACTCCAGGCGCTGCTTCCACACGGGCTCCGAGCACACGCTCACCTCCGAGCTGGACACCGTCTTGCACAGCGTCTCGTTGCCGTGGAAGAGCCCGGCCTGCACCACCAGCTGGGGGGGAGGGGACGGGCACGGGGGCAGCTGGCAGGGGCCGGCCCCTCCCTGCCCCGGCTCTCCCCCGCCTAAGCCAGAGCCCCGCCCAGAGGCCCTCCTTCCACAGGAGTCCGAACCGCGTCCCACGGGGGGGAGACGAGGACGGGGGTGAGGGGAAGGGGGCCGTGGGCTGTGCATGGGGACTGTCATCGGCTCCCGTGACCGTGGGACCCAGGTCATGCTGCCTGCTCTGGCTCTGGAACTCCAGGGACCTTTGGGCTCCAACCCAGAGGGCTCTCTCCTCGGCTAAGTCCCAGGAGCCCCTGAAGCTGGGGAAGGAGCCCCTGAGGCTGGGGAAGGAGCCCCTGAGGCTGGGGAAGGAGCCCCTGAGGCTGGGAAGGAGCCCCTGAGGCTGGGGAAGGAGACCCTGAGGCTGGGGAAGGAGCCCCTGAGGCTGGGGAAGGAGACCCTGTGTCTGGAGAAGGAGACCCTGTGGCGGGGATGGAGCCCCTGTGACTGGGGAAGGAGACCCTGTGGCCGGGGAAGGAGACCCTGTGACTGGGGATGGAGACCCTGAGGCTGGGGATGGAGTCCCTGTGACTGGGGATGGAGACCCTGTGGCTGGGGAAGGAGCCCCTGTGACTGGGGATGGAGACCCTGTGGCTGGGGATAGAGCCCCTGAGGCTGGGGAAGGCCTGCCCCCTCCAGCTCTGCTGGGGCAGAAAGCTGCCTGCATCCAACCTCCAGGATTCTGCCTGCCTGCTTATGAAATCCCCCCAAAAAGTGCTCCCCAAAGAGACCCACCCGCTGGGACCCAGGTTTCACATTTTGCAAATGGGACAATAACACCTGCAGGAGCAGGCTGTCCCAGAACGAGGCTGTCCCAGGACGAGGGTGTGGGCCTGGCCCCCGGGGTCCGGGCAGGCATTGTACACCCGCCCCCCCCCCCCCCCGGGAACCCAAAGGCCCCGCCCATTGGAGCGGCTCCCCTTCCAGTGCCCGCTGCCCCCCAGCGGCGTGCGGTTTCCACGTCCCGGCTGGGCTGCGCCGGCCCCACAGCCTCCCCCGTCAGCACCCAGAACTCCCGGCCCGTTTCTCCGAATCGGCCTCTGGCCACGCCTGCCCCGCCCCCCTTCCTGTTCTGAAGCAGCTCGCAGCCAGCCAGGCCGGGATGCTGGGTAATGTGGTCAGGTGGCTTTCATGTGACCCCCCCTCCTCCGCCGTCCCCCGGCCACAGCCACCTTGTTTGTGCAAAAAACACCCGCCCCCGCCCCCCCCGCCCCCGCCCCGCCCTCCCCTCCCGCCCGGCCGAGCCCCTACCTTCATCCGCTCGTCGGCGTTCACTTTGCTGCCCTGGATCAGCTCCACGCTGAAGGGCTGCTCCAGGGCCCACAGGGACAGGGACGAGGGCTGGGGGAGAAGAGGCCTCAGGAGGGCCGGCCCGGGCCCGGGGGGGGGGGGGGATGCAGGTTGTGGTGAGTCCAGGCACCTATCCCGCCTCCACCCTTTTTACCAGAAACCCCGCCGTGTGGGCGGCTGGGGCCAGCACCGGGCTCCGCAGCCAGGCGCTGCCGCGGCAGGAAGCAGGGGGGGCAGGAGGAGGGCACCGGAGCCCGGCCCGAGGCTGGCTGCCCCGGAACCACCGCTCAGGGCCGCGGTGGCTGCCAGGCTCAAAGCCCCACCCAGCGCTGGCCTCTGCCAGCCGGGTGCTGCCCGCCAGGCCTGGGGCTGGACACCCGGGGGGGGCAGGAAGCACGTGGGGCCCAGCTCACCTTCTTCATGGGGATGGGGGGCGGCTTGGTGCGCGATTTCTGGACCTGGGGGGCAGGGTTGCTCTGCTCGTCCCGCATGGCAAGGATGGAGGAGGAGTGGACCATGGTCAGGTGGGGGGTCAGCCCGCTGTGCAGGCAGCTGCAGATGTACTGAGACGGGACGGGCAGTGAGCGGCCGGTCAGCCGGTCAGCCATTCCCTGGACAGCTGGCTGCCGGGACCTTCTCACGCCAACCACTGCCCATCCCAGCCTCCCAGCCTCTCCCCAGGCTGCCCCCGTGCAAGCCCACCTCCCACCACAGCCTTCCTGTGTTCACAGGGAGGTCAGCCCCAGCAAGGGGACATTCTCGCGGTGACCCCCAAAGGCCTGGCTCATCAGGCTCAAAAGGGGCCCAAGAACCAGCTCTCCCAACTCCCCCGTTCTCTGCCCCGGCCTCTGCCCGGCCTCTTCCCCAGCCTCCGCCCTGGCCTCCGCCTGGCCTCTCCCCCATCCTCCTCCCCGGCCTCCTCCCCGGCCTCCGCCCCGTCCTCCTGCCGGCCTCCGCCTGGCCTCTCCCCGTCCTCTGCCCCATCCTCCTCCCCTGTCCTCCGCTTGGCCTCTCCCCCAGCCTCTCCCCGTCCTCCGCTTCGGCCTCCCCCCCCACCATCCTCCGCCCGGCCTCTCCCCTGGCCTCCGCCCCGGCCTCCGCCCCAGCCTCTCCCCCGTCCTCAGCCCGGCCTCCGCCCCGGCCTCCCCCCACCCGGCCTCTCCCCCGTCCTCAGCCCCAGCCTCCGCCCCGGCCTCCCCCCACCCGGCCTCTCCCCATCCTCTCCCCAGCCTCCCCCCCCCCCCCCCCCGTCCTCAGCCTGGTCTCTCCCCGGCCTCTCCCCGTACTCCGCCCGGCCTCTCCCCGGCCTTTCCCCCAGCTTCTCCCCGGCCTCCCCCGGCCTCCGCCCGGCCTCCCCTGGCGCGGCCGGCTCACCTGGAACTGGCAGAGCGGGTAGCTGCCGTACAGGAACTCCTGTTTCCCGTTCACCTGCAGCGTGTAGTCCTCGGGCTGCTCCACCAGCGGCTGCCGGAACACGGTGGCCTTCTTGCGCAGGGCGCAGGCCGCCAGCGCCAGCGGCAGGTCCTTGGTGGACACCTGGAAGGTGAAGCTCTCCTGGGAGAGCAGGGCGGGGGGGTCAGCCTCCGCCTGTGGGGGCCGGGCCGGGACGGGGGGCTGCCCGCAGGGCCTCCACCCCACACCCCACCCCTACCCCCCACCACGGAGCTCCGCAGAGGGGCTGCCCGCGGGCCTCCACCCCGAACCCCCAACCCCCCCACCCCCACCCCCGCCACGGAGCTCCGCAGAGGGGCTGCCCGCGGCCCCCGCCCCCACGGAGCTCCGCAGAGCAGGCTCTGGTAGAGGCACAGGCCGGCGGCCAGGAAAGGGCGCCGAGTGAGGGGACGGACAAGGACGAAGGCCGCTGCCCCTCTGTCTGGTCGGACGGCCGTGCCCAGTGTCCGCTGCTGCAGAGGAGAGGGTGGGGGCCGGGGGGCCGGGGAGTCTCACAGGACACCCCGGGGACACAGCGGCAGGAGCACGTGCCCAGTGTCCGCTGCTGCAGAGGAGAGGGTGGGGGCCGGGGGGCCGGGGAGTCTCACAGGACACCCCGCGGACACAGCGGCGGGGGCAGGCCGGGCCCAGTGTCCGCTGCTGCAGAGGAGAGGGTGGGGGCCGGGGGGCCGGGGAGTCTCACAGGACACCCCGGGGACACAGCGGCAGGAGCATGTGCCCAGTGTCCGCTGCTGCAGAGGACAGTGGGTGGGGGCTGGGGGGCCGGGGAGTCTCACAGGACACCCCGCGGACACAGCGGCGGGGGCAGGCCGGGCCCAGTGTCCGCTGCTGCAGAGGAGAGGGTGGGGGCTGGGGGGCCGGGGAGTCTCACAGGACACCCCGCGGACACAGCGGCGGGGCAGGCCGGGGCCAGTGTCCGCTGCTGCAGAGGAGAGGGTGGGGGCCGGGGGGCCGGGGAGTCTCACAGGACACCCCGGGGACACAGCGGCGGGGGCAGGCCGGGCCCAGCGTCCACTGCTGCAGAGGAGAGGGTGGGGGCCGGGGGGCCGGGGAGTCTCACAGGACACCCCGGGGACACAGCGGCGGGGGCAGGCCGGGCCAGCGCTCACCTCGCTGCCCTCGAACTTGACGTTGACCAGGAGGGCCCGGCCGGGGGCGCGCAGGGCGCCGGCGCCCCAGGCCCGCGCCGCGGGCTCCAGCTGCAGCGGGAAGCTGTACTGCAGCCAGGCCTCCCAGCCCAGCTGCTGCCGCCGCGCCGCCGCCTCCTCGCACAGCTGCCGCATCTTCGCCCGGAAGTCGTTCACCTCGGGGTCCCGCAGGGAATCGAACTCGTGCAGGCCTGCGGGCGGGAGGGAGGGGTCGGGTCGGGGCCAGAGGGTCAGGGGTCAGAGGGTCAGGGGCCAGAGGGTCAGGGGTCAGAGGGTCAGGGGTCAGGGTCAGAGAGTCAGGGGTCAGGGTCAGAGAGTCAGGGGTCAGAGGGTCAGGGGTCAGAGGGTCAGGGGTCGGGGTCAGGGGGTCTGGGGTCAGAGGATCAGGGGTCGGGGCCAGGGTCAGAGGGTCAGGGGTCAGAGGGTCAGGGGTCAGAGGGTCAGGGGTCGGGGCCGGGGTCAGGGGACCTGGGGGTCAGAGGGTCAGGGGTCAGAGGCCCGGGCACCTTTGCCGATGAGGAGGCTGATCTGCGAGTTGATGAGCTTCTTGACGCGGTCGCCCTCGCGGGCCACCAGGCGCAGCACGGGCAGGAAGGGCTGGATGTCGCACAGCCGCCGCTGCTCGTCCTCCAGCTCCTGCTGCTCCGCCGTCTGGTTGACGCAGGTGAACACGTAGGCCTCGGGGTCGCTGAGCATGTGGAAGAGCGGCTCATACTGGGCTCGGTGCCACAGCACCTGGGGGGCGGCACGGGCACCGGTCAGCGGGCAGCCTCTGACCGGCCGCGGCGGCGGCCCGCGGAGGTGGCTCAGTCTGGGCGTCCGTCCCGCACAGCAGGCAGGGCGCCCGGCCGGGTGGCTCGGGTTGACGTCACGGTTCCATCCCCCGTAGGGAGCCTGCAGGAGGCAGCCAATCGATGATTCTCTCTCATCATTGCTGTTTCTCTCCCTCTCCCTCCTTTCCTCTCTGAAATTAATAAAAATATATTTTAAAATAAAATTAAAAAGACAACGGCAAGATCCTAAGGCGGCCACCCTCTCCAGAGCCTGGACGGTCACCGGGAGGCCCGCCCCCTCCTCGGGAGCTCTGGAATCGGGAGCTGAGCGCTCTTACATCTCCGGACGTGACCCCAGCACCCCCGTTAACCGTTCTGGGGCTCACCACCCCGGACTGTCAATGCTGGCAAACAGTTCGGGACAGCGTAACGCACTGAGGGGCCATGAGACCCTCGGTGGGCTGTGTGCCTGCGCAGTGTGCCCAGGGATTGCTGGGAGCCTTCTAACAGTTGGGGTTTAGTGCAAAGGTGTTCACGCTGAGTCCCGGGGAAGAGGAAAAGGGGAGACCAGCCTTGGCTGTCCCCCAGGGGGACGGGTAATTGAGGCCATGAGGGATCACACGGGGCGGGACCCAGAACCCACGGGTTCCTGGGCTGCAGAGCGCTCCGAGAGGCCTCACTGAGAGGGAAAGACGGAAAGTGTGGGTCAGCCGGTATAATCAAACCCGGCTCATAGAGATGACAATAAACACGGCGCCCTGGCAGGCATGCTCAGTGGGTAGAACATCGGCCCACGCAGCAAAGGGTCACAAGTTCGATTCCTGTGCAAGGGCACTACCTGAGTTGAAGGTTCCATCCCTGGCCTTGGTCGGGCGTGTGCAGGAGGCAACCAATTGATGTCTCTCTATCTGCCTCCACCCCCCCCCTTCCTCCTTCCCACTCTCTCTTCTATGCTCTCTAAAAACCAATGGGGAAAATATCCTTGGGTGAGGATTAACGAAAATAAGTAATAAACATATGAATGATATAGATCAGGACTCTGCAAACCACCAGGTTACTGGAAGGCAGCCACGCCCCCTCATTTACATATCGTCTGGGGGTGCCCTGGCCTTACAAGGCAGAGCTGGTGGCTGCAGCAATGACAGCATGACTGGCCAGCAAAGCCTGGGACCTTTACTCTCCGGCCTGTGGCCTAAACAACCACGTGGAGAAACTGCCGTGTGCGAGGTGAGACTGCCGGGACCCACATGTTTCGGTATGTTCACAGCGCTGACATGTGAATGAACATACATGTACAGCTCTGAAAGCAGAAAAGATTAGCCTTAAAGTAATGCTGACCTAAAGTTAACAAGATGAAAAAGATGTGACATTTTAGCTCTGAAACAAAGGGATGTAAGAGTTCATAATCAGAATGTATCACTACAAACAGCACTGCACTGTATATACAAGAGAAAGCAGAGAACAGCAGAAGGGTTAACTGTGGTTATCTCAGATAATTTGTCCCTCCTACTGGATCACAGATAATTCTTTCCTTCTACTTTTTCTTGTTCTCTTATCTCAATGGGTCCATATTACTTTTGAAATAGAAAAAAAAAAAAAAAGAAATTTAATATTTAAAAAAATCTTCCAGGAAGAAAAGATTAAAAACAACAACAACAAAAAAAAACCTCAAGGCTGGTCCATGGCACCATTGCTTCTCTCCTTTTCTGCTCTGCTCCCAAGTGTAGCTTTTAAAATCCTGAGCTAAGATCTTGCCCTGTGGCACGTCTCATCACATTCACCCTCTGTAAACGGAACAAGCCAGTCACTACCAAATACCATCCAGATGTCTAATCTCCTGACTCAGTCATTTACCCAGAAGATTACTCAACGAAAAACCAAAAATACGACTTCCGAAGATGTGTTACTAGGACGACAGCCCTGAAGACAAAAGACCAGCAAAACCCTTCCGCGGCCTTGGATGGAGCGTGGTCCCTCCACCAGCCAGGCCGTGGCGAGGAGGAGGGCCGTGTGGGCACACAGCCTGAGCGCTCACCGGCACCTGCAGGCGCAGCTCTCACTGCAAGTGTTTAAACAATTCCTACACATCACTGAGGGCGCTTACAGTTCCCGCCCGAGACTCTCACACCTGAAAAATTACGCTTGTGAGTGTGGGGGTCTGTCATTCTGAGTTCCAAACGCTGAGGACGAGTTTCAAGGGCAAGCCTCAGCTGGTCTGCCTCAGTGGACAGAGCCTCGGCCCTTGGACTGAAGGGTCCTGGGTTCGATTCAGGTCAAGGACATGTACCTCAACTGCACGCTGGATCCTGGCGCCAGGAAGGGCATGTTCAGGAGGCAACTAGTCAATGTGAAACATCGCTGTTCCCACCCCCACCCCCACCCCCACTCTCTCTAAAAATCAATGGGAAGATATGCTCGGGGGAGGGTTAATACAAAAGACATGAATAAATGAGGTCCAGACGGTACCTTCTTGATGGTGCTGAGGTTGGCATTGCGGGACACGGGGAAGTTGAGGTAGACCCCCGTGGGCAGCAGGAAGTCGACCGCCACGCTCTGGTTCTCCTCGTTGGCCCAGAATTCCATGGGGCAGTCCACCCCTGGGGGCATCCTGCTGCTCACTTCTCCGACACCGGGCGTCCTGGGAAGGGGAGAAGCCGGTGAGCGGGGCGGGTGCGGAAAGGCCTTCGCGGGGACCCTCCGAAACGGGCTTCGGGGACTTGGGCCACAGGAGGCTCAGGAGGGAGGCTGGGCCCCCGAAGCTGGCTGCCCTCGGGCCTCCTCCGCCTGGGGCGGCCCAGGCCCGGCTGGGCCGAGCCACCTCTCATCACGGCGGGTCCTCGGCCACATCCCGCAGCAGTGGCCCAAGTTCAGCCACCAACGCACCAGTTCCACGCCCCTGTTTCTCAGGGGCTCCCCCGGGAGACCCGCCCGGCCACCCCCTGGCCAAGGAGCCACGTGGCCGGCGCCCGGGACGGGGAGGGACCGAAGGCGACAGCGCTGAGCCTTCCTCACCGGAAACCACACCGAGTGGCTGACAACGGCTTTGGGCCATAAAACAATCTGTTCAAACACCTCGGTCCTACCAACCCCCTCAGGCACCCCGCTCCCCAGGAACAAAATGGCACAGACTCAATGTCTCCAAGGGCCCCAGCACCCCAGGGTGCCGTTCTGGCTGTTTATGGATAACGTCCATGGATGTTTTCAGACTGGTATTATACGAATAGGTATCCACAAGGCCCAAACTGGTGTGGCTCAGTGGATAGAGCGTCGGCCTGCAGACTGAAAGGTCCCAGGTTCGATTCCAGTCAAGGGCATGTACCTTGGTTGCAGGCATATCCCCAGCTCGGGGGTGTGCAAGAGGCAGCTGATTGATGATTCTCTCTCATTGATGTTTCTAACTCCCTCTCCCTTCCTATCTGTAAAAAATCAATATATATTTTTTAAAATATGTATCCACAAATAACTCCTAATACGTTTGCATGCTTTAAAACTATGCCGATACACGTGACTCTAGTTCATTCTTTTTAACGCTTGTGGTATTTCCCTTTGTGAATAAACCACGTTTTATTTACCTCTTCTCTTGTTGATGAATCTCAAGGTTTGTTTCTACTCTATGTATCACAAAAGCAATGCTACAATGTATATTCTCTTTCTTTTTTCCTATTCTTTTTAAAAATGTATTTTTATTGATCGGAGAGGAAAGGAGAGAGAGATAGGGATAGATATATCAATGATGAGAGAGAGTCATTGATCAGCTGCCTCCTGCACACCCCACACTGGGGATCGAGCCTGCAACCCCGGCCTGTGCCCTGACCGGGAATCGAACCCTGACCTCCTGGTTCACAGGTCACCGCTCAACCGCTGAGCCACGCCAGATGGGCTACAATGTATATTCTTGCTTGCATCTCCTTGTGTGCATGTCAGAGTCGTGATAAGTATTGTCCAAGAGAAATATAAAGTGAAAGATGTGTGTAATGTCAGAGTTACCAGTAGCCACATTTTAAAAAATAATTAAATGACAGGTAAAATTAAAATTAGCAATTTATTTTACTTGACCCAGTATATCCAAAATATGGTCATTTTTTATGTTATCAAAATAGAAAAGTTACATTTGTTTTATTTTGAAATCTGCTGTGTAATCTATACTCGCTGTGCACACTACGATTCAGACAACAGGTTTTCCTCAGAAATCTTCCTCTCGCCCTGGCAGTGTTGCTCAGTGGTTAGAGCGTCGGCCTGCGGACGGAAGGGTCCCGGGTTCGATTCCAGTCAAGGGCACCTGCCTTGGCTGCAGCTCCTCCCCAGCCAGGGCCCTGGTCGGGATGCTTGCAGGAGGCAACCGATCTCTGTTTCTCACATCGACATTTCTCTCTGTCTCTCCCCCTTTCTTCTCCTCACCCTAAAAATCAATGAGAAAATATCCTCAGGTGAGGATTAACACACACAAATAAGAAATATTCATCTCTAAATGGATTTCATACAATTGGCAGGTGAAAAAGTAAGGCTCACAGACTCAAGCTGTTCTAAAGATACATTTAAAAGTTTTCAAGTAAAGGAATTCAAGTACCCACCCTTACATTTACACGAATTAAAGTGAAATAAAATGCCATTCCTCAATCATATGTTCGGAGCTCCACGTGGCGGGCCGGCGGCCACACAGGACAGCGCGGCCGGGCACACACTCCGAGGGGCGGCCCGGCCACAGGTGTGACCTGCTGCAGCTGCAGGTGCCGCCGTTACTGACGCCACCAAAGTGAACGGCGACATCCGTTACCAAGAGCAACACAGCTTTCCTTTCACCGACACCTGGTGTCAGACTCACTCATTCCTGCCGACCGAACAGGCCTCAGGTGCTCCCGTGGTTACAGCCTGCATCTCCCTGATTTTCCATAAAAGGCCAAACAGCCTGCTTAGAAGCGAGGCCCCTGTTGCTGTGCAGGTATTTGTCCTTTTCTCAGGAGCTTGGAGTTTCTTTGTATAATCTAGATGCAATGCTTTTGCTGCTTAAACGCATAGGAAATATCTGAGTCACCTTTTTATTTTGTTTATAGAGGGGATTTCCTTTTGATGAGTATTTTTTAATGTTGATGCGGACAACTTTTCAACCTTTTCTTATGTTTTATGATTTTTATTCTTTAGAAAAATACTTCCCTAACCTAAGTCACATCCTTCTAGATTTAAATGACTTGTAAAAAATAGCTGAAAGGAACCCTAGTGGGTTTGGCTCAGAGGATAGAGCATCAGCCTGTGGACTGAAGGGTCCCGGGTTCGATTCCTGTCAAGGGCATGCACCTGGGTTGCAGGCTCATCCCCGTCCCCAGGTTGGGGCACATATGAGAGGCAACCAATCGATGTGTTTCTCTCACATCGATGTTTCTCTCTGTGTCTCTCGCCCTCCCTTCTACTCTTAATAAAAAAAAAATTTTTTTAAAGCTTATGCCTTAGCCAAGGTCAAAGGCACATGCCCAGGTTGCAGGCTTGATCCCCAGTGGGGGGCGTGCAGGAGGCAGCCAATCAATGATGCTCTCTCATCACTGATGTTTCTATCTCTCTCTCCCTCTCCCTTCCTCTCTGACATCAATAAAAATGTATTTCTTTAAAAAAGCTTAAAGGCAATGTTTAGTGGGAGACAGACATTCCGGTGGCTCTGCCAGATTGGCCGGCCCTGCCTTCGGCGGGATGCAGAGGGAGCAGCTCAGTGCGCACACCGCCCTCCACTACAGGACACCACCTGCCGAGATCCCGTCCTGATTGTCAAACCACATCCTGTCGGTTCCTCTTTCTGAGAATGGCCAGGCCAAAGGCCTTTCTTTCTTTCTTTCTTTCTTTCTTTCTTTCTTTCTTTCTTTCTTTCTTTCTTTCAGAAATAACGTAAAAAAAAAAAAAAAGAGAAAGATTTCTTTATTGATTTCTTAGAAAGAGAGGACCATTGATGAGAGGGGAAATATCAATCGGCAGCTCCCTACAGGCCCCACTGGGGATGGAGCCTGAAGCCTGGGCACGTTCCCTGACCAGGAATCCAACCCACAGCCCTTCCGTGCATGAGGCGACGCCCAGCCAACTGAGCCACACTGGCCAGGGCACTCTTTCTTTCTTTCTTTTCATATATATATATATATATATATATATATATATATATATATATATTATTGATTTTGTACAGAGAGGAAGGGAGAGAGATAGAGAGTTAGAAACATCGATGAGAGAGAGTCATCGACCAGCTGCCTGTTGCACACCCCCTACTGGGGATGTGCCCTCAACCAAGGTACATGCCCTTGACCGGAATCGAACCCGGGACCCTTCAGTCCCCAAGCCGACGCTCTATCCATTGAGCCAAACCGGTCTCGGCCACTCTTTCTTTTTTATTTAAATGTCGGGGCTCCTCAGGCAGCCGGAGAACCCACTCACCATGCTCCCTGGGCTCCGGCCGGGCGAGGGGAGTCAGGAGCATCTCTGGCCATTCGCTCCCGAGGCTACGACCAGAGGGACGGACGGGGCCCCAAGGCGCAGGCCCCCTCAGTCCCTCTTCTACGTGGAAACGAAGCTTCACCTGCTTCACCCGGGGGAATGCAGGGTAGCAATCTGATGGAAAAACCCACTGCTGCCCTGGCCTGGCGGCTCGGTGGGGTGGAGTGTCAAAAGGTTGTGGGTTCGATTCCCAGTCAGGGCACATACCTAGGTTGCAGGTTTGATCCCCGGTTGGACCTATACAGTCCTTTTCTATGGGCTGACCAATGTTTCTCTCCACATCAATGGTTTTCTCTCTCTCACCTTAATTCTCTCTAAGATAAATAAAAAGCATATCACTGGGTAAGAATTCAAACAACAAAAACTCATTCCTACAAGGAGCCTTGGATGGCGTGGGCAGCACGTGACCAGATGCCCGACGTGGGCAGAGGAGGGGGGACGCGTTCCCAGGGCCCGGGTGCCGCTGACAATGAGCCCGGCTCTGCAGTTTGCAGGGGCACAGACACCAGCCGACGCAGGGTTTCCGAACGGCCCGAGAATACAGACTGGCACGGCCATTGGCACACTGACAGCATCCGCTGTGCCCTGGGGCCCGGCGGGGCCGCTCCTGGGCAAACACCCGACAGAAAGGCAAGCCTGTGGCATCGCTGCTCCTAACGCCCTGACCTGGAGACCGCCCCAATGCGCACCCGCCCTGGACGGAAATCAGCTGTCCGCTCCCCCTGGGAGGGGAGAGCGCGAGAATGGGCTCTAGCCTCACACGGTACAAACGAACAGCCGAAACCGGTTTGGCTCAGTGGATAGAGCATCTGCCTGCGGACTGAAGGGTCCCGGGTTCGATTCCTGTCTAGGGCATTTATCTTAGTAGCGGGCACATCCCGGGGGGGGGGGGGGTGGTGTGCAGGAGGCAGCTGATCGATGATTCTCTCTCATCAATGTTTCTAACTCTCTATCCCTCTCTCTTCCTCTCTGTAAAAAATCAATAAAATATATATATTTTAAAAACAATCCGCACAAGCGTGGAGCTGGATGGAGAGACCGTGCTCAGGGTCTCCGCACAGAGCGGCGTGGGCAGCTCACCGCTGATGCAGAGGAGAAGGCTCACGCCTGGGGGA